ACTGATGTGCGGCGAAGGCATCCTGGTACTGAACGAGTAATGCAGTGAGTGCTTGGAACTCTGAGTCTGAAAGAGAAGACTTAGAAACATTTAACATTCCAATCAGATGTTCAGGTACCCCAGGTGTAATACCTTCCCCCATGGCAACTTCGTCGTCATCCCCAGTGACCGAACTTATTCTTGGTGACTCGGTGTTCATCACGTCGAATTGCTCAGTCTCCATGGCCATACCTATTTTCCTACCCCTCTTCATGGTTACATAATTGTCGGACATATTCACTACACAAATGCATGGTGTATCAATGCAGCGGTGCAGCGTAGCTGGAATCGCTACCTTCTCGATAGGGTCCGGTTCTATGAAGAAATCAGGCATAGGTAAGTTATCATTAATTAAATGACATTTAACATGTGCAGCACAATGAGGAGGTATTACTCTACGTTTGGCAACAAAGACTCGGGCTACTCTCGAGTCAGGTGTCGCCTCCCCTCTAAGAGATATGGTGCTGTCACCAATAGTTAATAGTAGCTTCCCGAAGTCAATTACAGCTTTGTTGGGATAGAGGAAATCTCCACCCAATAACATCTCATCATTTATAGGAGCTACATAGAAAAATCTATTATACTCGTTTGAACCTAAACGAAAGTTAACGGGGCCCACCTTATAGCCTGACATGGATGTTCCCCTCCCAGCTAAGGTAAAGGATAATTTGGCTACAATAGGTGGTGCTGGTTCAAGGCTAGAGTATACCCTATCAGAGAGGATGGTGTAATCGGCTGCGGTATCTACAACTACATTAATTTTTACATTGTTGACTAGAGCAGTTGCATGCAGCGCGTTTTCGGACTTTACTCTGCTGATAGTTATTTCTTCTGTTGTCGTTGTTGTTGTTGTTGTTGTTGTTGTTGTTGTTGACTCATTACTGTCCCCCGGTTTAATAGAATGAGAGGCAGTAAGTGAATCAGAATTGTTTGACGTCGTCACAGTTTCTTGACATGTATTCTGTGGACTGGCAGCATTGCTAGGCCCACCCGGAACAAGATGTATATTTTGTGGACTAACGGTGTTGCTAGGCCCACCAGGATCAGAAGAAACCGTGTCGTTCTTGATTTTCTGGTCTTCTTGTTTTTGTTGGCCGCTACAATGAGAATGGTCGGCTAGCTGGCCATGGCTTCCGACCCCTACTCGTTTAAAGGTTCCTCACCCTGAGCGCCAACCTGCCTGGTTTGTTTAGATAAAGTTCCCAACTGCGGGCAATCTTTACGCCAATGTCCCACCTGGTGACATTCATAGCACCGATCCCCCCGTGGTTTTAACATTTCCAACACCGCATCAAGCTTCTGGTTAATAGCCACCATCTGATCTTCGAGGGCGGTCAATCTACTATCAGAACTTGATTGTGATGGAGATGGTTTTCGGTTAGTAGGGACCGATTTGCTAGCGGGTGTAACAGCAGTTTGCTTTTCATGGGTAGAAGATCGAGGATAGCTTGATTTACCATCCCGGTTGTAACGTTTACCCACTTGTCTACATTCCGCAGTCTCGATATCGTCGCTATCTTCATCCTCATCCTCTTCCTCGGAGTAAGTAGGAGGTGTTGATGAACGATGAGTGACATGGGTAGCAGACCTGATCAGGGGTTTTCCAATATCTCAAGATCTGCTCCCTCTCTTAGTACCATACAATCCTCGGAGACTGTCTTACTGTTCATACTCAGTCAAAGCTTCTGCCAGAGTGGTAACATGCTTATGGAGGACATATCTCCCGGCCTCTGCATCCCGGCAACCAAGACAGAACCTTGTCGCAGCTTGCTGACGGATCCAGGCCCTTGGCAGATCTTTATATGCTTTTCGGGTCATAGTCATAACTCGATCAGCCTACTCATCAATGGATTCGTCCTCACGTTGAGTGGCGGCTTCCAATCGAGCTTGCAGGACGGCAGGCAAATCTTCCTCCCCGAAACGTTTATCAAACCTTCGACATTGTAAATGGGAAAGATCACACGTACACGTATAGG